GCTTCTCCCTTCCCTCTTTGCGTAGCTCCGAGGGAGTGCCGCATCTGTGGAGGACTTGCCATGTTCGAGTGCAGAGAGTGCTATGATGACCCGGACATCACAGCAGGGAAGATCAAGCAGTTCTGTCAGACCTGCTGCACTCAGGTAATCCACACGCCCTGCACCAGTCAGATACTGATGGTCCAGAAGGCAGGGTTTGAGATCCTTTCAGAGTCAAAGGGCATTTTAAACATTCACAGTAAATGTTCATGTCTCTTCTGCCAGTGTGTGTGTGTGTGTGTGTGTGTGTGTGTGTGTGTGTGTGTAGAACTTGACTGTGGTGGTCAGTGAAAGCGATTAGAGTCTGCCCTTGAAACATGGCATTTAGCTCAATTGTGGTATTTTCTTCATGGTCCATTTTAGGTTCACCTCCATCCCAAGAGGGTGAATCACACATATCACCCAGTATCACTTCCCAAAGACTTGCCTGACTAGGACTGGAGACACGGCTGCATCCCCTCTCAGAAGATGGAGTTATTTGCTGTTCTCTGCATAGAAACGATCCACTATGTTGCGTTTGTGAAGTATGGGAAGGATGATTCTTCCTGGCTCTTCTTTGACAGCATGGCTGATCGGGATGGTATTTAAAACTTTTCTTTTGGAGTGAGATGCATCCTAATGAGAGCATGTGTTCGTAGTAATAGGGTATTTTGTGAGCAAATTCTTTAAAGGATACCACAGTGTGACAGACTTTAATCTTCAAAGGGTATTACTAATTCTATACTCAAACTAAGGAGTGTAGTGAGGAGCTGCAGGCAGGCCTGCTTTTCGCCTCACCCGGCTCCCGCATGGCTAGCTTAGTCCCAGAAATAACAACACACAAATTGTATTCATTTAAGCACTGCCTGATCCATTATCTCTAGAGAGTTAGTTACTGACTAACTCTCATATCTTGATATTAACCCATTTCTAATAATCTGTGCAGCACCATGAGGTGGTGGCTTACCGGAAAAGATTCAGCATGTCTGACCTGGTGGCTGGCTCCATGGCTTCTGCCCCATTGCCCTCTTTCCAGCATTTTGTTCTGTTTACTCTGCCTACCTAATTTTTTGTCCTATCAAAGGGCCAAGGCAGTCTCTTTATTAACCAATGAAAATAACACATAGAAGGCCCACCTACATCAAAGGAGCAATAATGTTGTGGCATCTTGGTCCTTACATGAATTTGTTAAAGAATCCTAGCCATAATCCCAGACTTGGGAAGTAGAGGATTGTGAATCAGAGGTCAGTTTGTATTGCATAGTGAGAACCTGTTTCAATTTGTCCCACCTCAAAAGAAAAAAAAAATCCTAAAGTTTATTTAGAGCTGAATTTACCATCTACTTCCTTGCATTTTTATACACAGTAGAGTAGCCATTTATTGAGGACATAAATGCCAAACTCTGTGGGAATACTTTGGTCATGGAAATCATGCCTGTTTTCCTATTGTCTAAGCTAACGTTAAAGGTGGTGAAGATTGCATGGTTTGTGTTTAACTTGGTCTTCCTGATCTCATGGATTTTATTTCAGGAAGAAACCTTTACTCATTGAGATGTTTTTAGGAAGCTTAGTCATGACTTAGTACACACTTGAGTGACAGGGGTCTTGGTAGTAAGGTACTTGTCCCAGTACCTGTACATACCCCGTTTACTCCACAGCTCTCCCTCTAAGCCCTAGTTCCCCAGGTCTTCAGGTGTGACTCCGAGTGACAGCTTCTTGACCAGAGGCCCAAGCTGTAGACCAACAGGTCTTCATTTCTCTGTATGCTCTCAGATACCTGCACTTTAGGAAGCATATTTGTGTTGGTTTTTTAAGAAGTTTAAATGAAGTTTAGTTTAAATGAAGTTAAGTTTAGTTTTCTTAAAGTTTATTGAGTTTAAAAAAAAAGTTTATTGAGTTTATTGTATTGATAACATATTTTTGGAAACATACAATTTTAATTGTGACGTCTAAAATCTCTTTTAGTCCATTTCTCTCTACTACTTAATAATGTAAACATTTAACTTCTGGGAAGATTTTGCCTGCACCCCCATACTACCAGATGACAGGTCTTCATGTCGTAAGTAGGCTATCCTTCTCAGAGCAGGTAGGTCATGAGACCTCTGTTTAAAAACAAGACTGCCCTCCTTGGGCTTGGGGATTCCAGCACCACCCCCAATTCTTCATCGGGGAGATAGTTGTTTAGTGTCCTAATGCAGCTGGGATAGGTGGAGAAGAGGATGTAGTGGTGAAAGTGGTGAGCAGAAAGGGGCCTGAGGAGGCCGTGAACTACCTGTCATAGCAGAGGACAGGACTTGTGTGAAGGCAAACTTCTGTGGCTTCGGGCCTTGGCCCTCTAATCAATGATGTCAAAGTGACTTCCTGGCAAGGAATTAGGCTCCTGTGTAAGCTTCTGACGGTTGTCTCATTAGGCGGTGGACTGGCTGGAGTTGTTGAGGGTCTTTGCTTTGTCTTATTCTAAATCCTAAAGGGTTTCTCTTGGGTCCAAATGCGGTGACAAACTGAGCAGCAGAGATGGCCAGGAGGAGTGAATAGTGGGAATATTGGGGATAGTTTTGTGCCATCATATTTTAGTTCTCATTTCTTCCTAACAGATTTGAGGGAGAAGGGCTATTGATGTAGGGATTATCCTTCCAGGCACCATTGGCCTCTGCACAGTTCTCTTGTGTTTTTAAATACTGTTGATGTTCACTAGTTATTTATTCTAAAGGGATTATACTGGAGACACAACTGTCTTTGGTTTTAAATTATGAAGTAGCCTTGTACTGTGGAATGTTATCTCTGGAGAGTCGTCCTCATCCTCGAAGTATTCATTAAAAAAATCCCACGGATACTCCCTGGGGGTGTGTGGTTATTATTATCAGGCTGACCCAAAGGAACACATTTTGTATTCCATTTCCTTTACTGGTATCTTGTTAAAAAATTTTGCCTGAAGAATCTTCTTTTGTTTATGAAAACATGAATAACATTGTATAAAACAGTCCCTTTTCTGTCAGTATGCTCCAATGTAGCCTTAATTTTGTTAAACTTAGAGACAAATGAAGTACTGCTGTGGAAAGAAATATACTATGCACTATTTCTGTATCATTAAAATGCAGTTTTTATGGCTCTTTCTCTTTGATTTCTTTAGGGGAAGGGCTTTGGGTTGGGGGAACATAGAAGTTGGTTCTTTATCAAGCTTCCAGGCACACACTGTGTCTAGGGCATGTTTTAGGGTGTTGCCATTTGACCCTGGGCCATAGTGTGGCATCTACCTACTCTGGAGATGTGCTGGATATGGCTCATCACCACCATCTCTAAGCCTCCAGCCACAGGTTACTCCTCCCAAGATGCTGTTTCACCTGCAGGTATGTGGTCCAGAGCTGTGCATTACATAGGGTGCGTGCTGGGCCTACGAACTGCCAAGGACGTGGCTGCTTCTCTGTAATGCCCAGGGAATGATCACATGACATTTTAGGAACTGAATTTTTACTCCAGGCTTCTTTTAGATAATAAAATGCATGAGAAATCCTCCTTCCTTGGAGACTAAGCCACTCATTGCATACAGGAAGGGACGCTAGACTGATCTGAGTTTTATTGTTGTTGTAGTACGTCAAGGTTTCTGTTTAGAAAATCCACAGCTTACAACATGACCATGCTGGTAACAGCATGCTGCAGCTCTACATTTTCTTGCTGAATTCAGAGGTTGGCAAATACTTTACTAGATCTTACTCTTGCGTTTGGGCATATTGATGTGACAGGGATTGAGCTGCCCATCTGTGTATATGAACAGTCAAGTGAAAACCAGTCTTTGTTGAAGAAAGCTGACCTAGCCAGAGGAACTCTGATCCTACTCTTGACCTCTGGCTAGGCTCCCTGACAAAATCTGAAGGAAGAGTTGCACTGTCAGTAAGGGTTTTCCATCCTGGCTAAGGATTTTTTTCCCGTGGTGGTCATGGCTGGATGTAGGCCCATGGGAATATCTGAAGGTGACTCAGAGGTATTTGTCCCATGTGAAGCCAAGTAGGAACCACTTATGGACAGAGTTTTTTCAAGGGAAGCGATCCTCACATCATCCCTACTGGGAACCTTCTGCTCCAGTGGAAGACAGGCTGTGGAGTTCCAGAGTGGATGTAGAAAAGTATGGGAAAGCTGTGTGTGTTGGATGCAGGAGAGAGAGTTTAGAAGCAAGGCGGGAGAAGGTTTGAATAAACAAGACTGACAGGGCAGGAGAGATGGTTCAGTGGTTAAGAGCACTGGTTGCTCTTCCACAGGATCTGAGTTCAAACCCCTACACCCACATGGTGGCTCACAGCCATTTGAAGTTCCAGTCCCAGTGGAATTTTCTGAACTCTGAAGACAACATCGATGCACAGAAATACATAGAGGCAAACACCTATGCACATAAAAGCAAAGATTAAAAAATTTAGAAAGAATACCAAAATGGGCACTGTGAGGATGCTATTGAGTTTTGCTTGGGAAACATTCCAAAGTTGTGTGTGAACTCCAGGGGTTGTTTCAGATGTCATTCAAAAGAACAAGCCACCAGTTATAGGAACAACAGTTTGGGACAGTTTCCTGCCTGTCTTCATCTGTTGGTGAACAGCAGGTCTTGGTGGCCTGCCAGCCACGGTGGGGGACATCTCTACAGTGCTCAGCTTTGATGGAAGGGGTTGTTTCTGGGATCTGATTACAGCCAGGAGGTGATTGAAGACTGACCTGCAAATTATGGGAACTGGGTTATTTCTCTTAGCAAGGAGCTCTTGTTACAACGGGAACATCAGGACCGTCACCATCAGTAGGATCACAGTCTGAGGCTTCATCTTGCTTGTCGTTCCTCTGCACTTGTACTTTTCTCACCAAGCACTCCAGTACCCAAATAGGGTCCAAATGATCCTGTGGAAAAACACAAACAGAGCCTTGTGCCTATGCCAGCATGGGATCAGGGCCATACCAGACCCCTGTCAGAGCGTCCTTCCATTTTATCAATCCTTTTAAAGGACTGGATGGGCAAGAATGCCTGTCTGCTGCAGACTGATTGGTATTATCCAAATTTTAAAAATTAAGTGTAAACAAGGCCAAGGAAAGTCTATTCTTGGGGGTCTGTTGATGACCTATTCCCCCTTTTTGTTTTTGAAGCAATTCCTTTAAGGAGCAATGAGCACATTCTACAATACCTTGGCCTTGTGGATTATAAGGCAGTCCATGTATGAGTTGAACACCCATGTGTTGGCAGAAGGAGGTGAATTTTTGTCCCATATAAGCGGGACCATTGTCTGTTTTCAGTTGCTGGGGTTTTCCCCAGGCAGCTCACGCTTCTAGACAATGAGCAATCACTTGGGTTGCCTTTTCACCTGTCATGGGTGTGGCATGGATAATGCCAGAGCACGTATCCACGGAGACATGCACGTATTTTACCTTGCCAAACTCAGAGATATGGGTAACATCCATCTGCCAAAGTTTAAGCGGGGGCAATCCACGCGGATTGACCCCTAAAATTTGAAGGTGATGATATATGACACATTGTAGACAATCCACAACCACCTTGCATGCATCAGCACGGGAAATGGCAAATTTTTGTTGTAGGGTTTTGGCATTTACATGAAACTCTTTATGAAAATCATGAGCCCTCTGCAGGGCAGAGGCAAGAAACATCCATTCTTGTCTGGTACACTGATCAACTTTGTCATTGCCAGCAGTCAGAGGGCCTGGCAAACCTGTATGTGCACGAATGTGCTGTACAAAGAAAGGATTCTTACGCTGCCAGAGTAATAGCTGTAATTGTGTAAATAGCCTATGGACAGGGCTGGAGGATTTAATAGGTCCAGCGCACTCAAGGTATTTTAAGGCGTTAACAACATAACAAGAATCCGAAATCAAATTAAATGTAAATGGACAGGATTTAAACACCTCAACCACGATTGCTAGCTCCATTTGCTGAGGAGCTCCAGGAGAAAACTGATATTTAACAGGTTCTGCAGAATCTACCATGTAAGCACCACAGTCAGTCTTAGAGCCATCTGTAAATATAACACTGGCTCCTGGAATGGGTCATAAGGCAGTGATTTTTGGAAAGACTACTGGATGTTCTTTAAAAAAGGTTAACAGTGGATGCTTAGGAAAATGACAATCGATGTGCCTAGAATAGGAGCACCGCAAAATAGCCCAATCATCAATAGTGGCACATAAAATATTAACTTGATTAGTATCATATGGGGTGACTATTACACATGGTGCAACTCCAAAATGTTGCAGGCAAGCCTGGATGCCTTGCTGAGAAAGCAAAGCGACAGCAATAGAATAATATTTTATGGATTTCGCAGGGGAAATCCTGGGATGAACCCAAAGTAATGGTCCTTCCTGCCACAGAATACCCGTGGGTTGTAGATTAGTGGATAAAATGCATAAAGCAATATCCTTTTCAGCCTGCACCCGTTTTAAAAAGGTTTTAGATAATTTTTCCTCTACGAGAGAGTGCTTGTCGAGCTTCACTGTTAAATGTCTGGGAGAATCTAGAGCTACATCGCCAACTAAAATATCATATAACGGTTTTAACTCATAATTTGTCATGCCCAAACTGCCCCTAATCCAATTTATATCTCCCAATAATTTTTGAAAATCATTTAATGTATGCAAATGATCTTTTATTAATTCTATCTTTTGTGGTATAATTTGATTATATGTTATTTTAGACCCTAAATAATTTACTACCTCGTCTTGTTGAACCTTTTCTGGAGCTATACATAGGCCCTTCCTTTGTAATACCCCCACCAAAACACTGTATGCCTCAGTCAAAGCTTGCTCCTTTTTTGCCACCAGGAGAATATCATCCATATAATGGAGACATTTCACAGTTGGAAAATGAGCCCATAAGGGCTCCAAAGCAGCAGCTACAAATAACTGACACATACTAGGACTATTGGCCATACCTTGAGGTAGGATAATCCATTGATATCTTTTATCAGGTTCCTCATGGTTGACTGATGGTAAGGTAAAGGCAAATCTTTCACTGTCTTTGCTATTTAAAGGGATGGAAAAGAAACAATCTTTTATGTCTACTACTATAATGGGCCAACTCTCTGGTAATGCAGATAGCAAGGGGAGGCCATGTTGAACAGGTCCCATAATTTTCATCTGTGCATTTATAGTGCAAAGATCATGTAATAATCTCCATTTTCCAGACTTCTTTCTTATAACAAAAATAGGAGTATTCCAAGGGGAGAGGGAGGGTTCTATATGCCCTTCCTCTAGTTGTTCTTGCATTAACTGACGGACTGCTTGTAGTTTTTCGAAAGATAGTGGCCACTGAGGAACCCACACTGGCTCTTCCGTTTTAAAGGAAATGGGAATTCCTTCCTCATCGGCCCCTAAGAAAAACCCAACCCTTGTCTGGGTTTTCTTGGTTTTGCCTCTATAGGATCCTTCTGTCCCTGCAAGAATTTTCCCAGGCCAAACTCAGGATGGCAGCCCATGCTTTCATAATAGCTTGAGCCTTATCAGAATATTCATTACTTAACTTAAACCCCATAGATTTCATAATATCTCTTCCCCATAACGATACTGGGAGCTCTTGGACATATGGCTGTATTTGTCTGGAGTGTCCTTCTTCATCTTGCCAAGTTATCAAGCTTGCACTAACATCAGGGGCTTTTGCATACCCCAGTCCTTGTAAGGTATACGTAGAGGCCTGGACGGACCACCCGCGTGGCCAATCCTTGCTAGCTATAATACTTTTGTCCACTCCAGTGTCCAGGAGTGGACACTGTAATCTTGGTGCCATTAATAGTCAATTGTAAGGAGGCCTCTGATCCAAACTCAAAGACAGAAAGGTAAGATCCATTCCTGAGGAGCCAAATCCTTGACTACCTCTCTCTCTGTTCCGTGCTGGAAATCTATCATGCAAGCTGGGCAGGATAACAAGCTGTGCAATTCAATCACCTGGAGATATGGCACTAATACCCTTGGGTAACTCCACCATAATTTTAACAATGCCTGTATAGTCTGGATCAATTATTCCGGGATAAACCCGTAGGCCTCTCAAAGTAGTAGATGACCTGCCTATCAATAACCCTACTGTGCCTGGTTGGAGAGGGCCTTGAAAGTCAGAGTCTATCGTTTGAACTCCCATTCAAGGGGTTAATATAAGACTGGTGGTGGCACGGAGGTCCAATCCTGCTGAACCCGCAGTGGCTCTCTGCAGTTCTGTGGGTGTCTGAATGTTGGCCATTGCTCCAATTTCCCTTCCTGTACCTGCTCCTCCATTGCCCCATATATTTGAGGGCCCTGAGGCCGAGGGCCCCGCTGTCCATTTTTTGACCTAGCATTAGGTTTGAGGGGTCGTCCGTTGATATCCTTGACGAATCTGCACTCATTGGCCCAATGCGTTCCTTTCTTGCATTTGGGGCATATCCCTGGATTTGGATTCTGGCTAATTCCTGGTCCCTGGGTATTCCCCTGCCGAGCATTTCCTCCTTGAGGGCAGTTGCACTTAATGTGGCCTGACTTACCACATCGAAAGCAAGTTCCTGCATTGCCCCCATTTTTGTTCAATCTAAGTACCGCAGCTGCCAGTCCGGCATTGGTTAATGGACCTCCTAATTCTCTACATGCTCTCATCCAGACTTCTAATCCTCTATTTTTATATGGGGTGATAGCCGCTCTGCACTCCTGGGTACATTGTTCATACACTAGCTGCTTGACAAATGGCATAGCGGTGTCCGGGTCACCAAAGATCTTTCCTGCTGCTTCTACCATCCTAGCCACACAATCAGAAAAAGGCTCCATAGGCCCCTGAAGGATCTTACTCAAATTACCAATTACTTCCCCTTTATTAGGTAAGGTCTTCCATGCTCTTGTGGCAATGTTATTAATGTGATCATACACTTGAGGAGGATATCCGTTTTGCTGGTTGGCAAACCTGCCTTGTCCAAGTAATATGTCTGTGTCCCAGACTGCTTGTGCCCCTCCAGCTGCTAGATTTATTGCAGCCTGAGCATTGGCCAACTCAACTAAAAGAGCTTTCCAATCTAGATACTGGCCAGGGGACAAACATGCTCGTGCTAGGTTCATCCAATCAGCTGGAGTCATGGCGTATCTATGTAGAGCTTCCACTTGGGCCACCGTAAAGGCGGCTGTAATGCCATAAGTCCGGACAGATTCTGCCAATGTCTTAATGACCTTAAAATCCAAAGGCTCATGGAATCAATTGCCTTGTGGATCCTGGAATACCGGAAATGCTGAGGACTTCATCATTTCTGCCCTGACTTCTCTCCATACCTTAGGATCGAAAGAAGTCCCTCCCTCTGCTCCTATAACCTCCGGATACGGGGGCGGAGCTGAAGGGGTTACAGTCCTGCGCATGCCTTTAGATGTCTTATTTTTCCTCCCATTTCCCTTTTTCTTGGAGATTTTCATTCTTTTTAATGTTTTCCTAAGGGTCTCTCTATCTTCTTCATCCGTTTCTGTCTCTATGTCTGGTGTCTCTGGGTCTGGCCCTGTCTCTGAGCTCAAGGAGACAGAAGAGTCTGATTCCTCCAATTCTGACAGGCTAGGATATAATCGACCCTTTTGCTTTTCCTGGGCCCTTTTCTTCTTCCCTCTACCTGAATCTATATCAGATGCCACATCAGACTTTGCCTTTTTAGAGGCTGCCGTTTCTGAAGCTGCCTTCTCTGAACGTTCCTCCTGTAATATCTCTAAGGCTTCTTGGTCATTTTCTACTGCTTCATTGCACTTTCGATCCTCGAGGCAGCTTTTCACTAAGCGTTCTTAGTTCTGCAGCAAAGACCGCCAGTCTTAAGCGTTCCCTGTTCTGCAGCAAACTCAAGGTCTCTACCTAGCTTTTTCCATGACGGTCTCGTAAGCTTCCCAGAGACTGCAAACCAAGGTGCAGTGGTATCACATTCCTCCAGGAACCTCCCTAAGGTACTTTTCTTAAGTTTTAGATTTTTTTGAACGAAGTCAGAAAAATTGGGTGAGAAGGAGAATTCCCCATGTCTATTCACTGAGGATCCTCAATACACCCCCTAAAGAAATAAGTAAAAATGATGAACCAGAACACTGTATTCAAGAATACCCAAGCTGCTAAAAGCAGGTAGTAATCCATTAACAGTATCCGGCAATTTTACTTTCAGTTCGTTGGGCTAGCGAACCAAATGTGCTCTACAGACTTGGAGCCCGTCTGCTGTAGTAAGCTCTACTTTCACTTTCTTTTCTTTTTTTTTTGGAGACAATGAAACTTTATTTAAAAACAAAACCACTTGGAAAATATATTGCAGGCTTGACAGCAAACTGACAAATATTATCACTGTTTCAAGTAATTAATTGGTATAAATACAACACAGTACTTATCCAAAAGATAAAATGCCATGTTGGGGCAGCAACACTGCACTGCAAAACCCCAGGCAAAAATGGCATTTGGTAAGGTGTGTGCCTGTCTTGCTCTATAGTGGTCCTAGTTTTCCTTGGCCCAGATTGCTTGGTTTTAGGTCTCATTGTTGCTAGAGGATTACCTCCAAAAGGCTCTGTGAATTCAGGGAGCAGAGGGAGTAATACTGGATTTGGACTTTCACTTTGTAAAATTTAGGCTTCCCCAAACCTAGTACATCTCAACAGTTCCCATTTGACTCTTTACTCTCAGCTAATGGTATGTGAGTGACAATCAAATCCCTTTGTTCTTCATGGGAATGTGTCATTTTGCACAGAAGTCAGAGAAGGACCGATCTGTCTGCTCTAGTTGCAGCTCTACTTTCACTTTCCATTTGTCCACTCTAGTCGTAGCTCTACTTTCCCTCTCTCCCTTTGTTTACAGGCGAGAGCAAATAACCCGCTTTGGTTGCGGATCCCCAATCTTACCTTGAGGACTTACCGGTGCACCCCCTGACTGCTGCAAGTTCTGGGCTCCAGGGAGAGGAGATGAGAATCTCCATACGGGCCACCACTTGTGCGACCGCCTCGACCAACAAGGAAGATGCAACACCGGAGCTCTTCTTGCAAGCAGTTTACTCAGGACCTTGTTACAATAGCTTCTCTCCCTGGACAAACCACTCCCAGCCCTTAAATAGCCCTGAGCAGCTAATCCTGGATCGCCACATGGGCACTGTCCATAGGTCCACTTACATCGTGTGATCCTGGCCTTAGCCAAATAAGGTGTTGTTTACCACTGAGAGCGCTCACTTTCGGATCGTGGAAGGCGGAAGCCGGCGCCATCTTTTAGGTGCAGCTCCACGCAGCTCTCTACACATAGCCGTTAATTACGGTTATAAAGGATCTTAAATGTCTTCCAATTATTCCCATTTCATCAGCTTTTGGAACATTCCTCTTCAGGTTTAAAGAACTAACTCACAGCTATCGAGACAAACACTGATTTTTCTTTTATTTAGGAGGTGAGTAAGTCATTCATAGTAGGATGTCTTATGAATTGTCTCTTTTTGCCTTATGACTTTGTCAGCCATCCATGTTGTGATTTTACCTACCTCCTCTATTACATTTATCTCCCTCCACCTTACCTAAGAACTCCCATTAAATTTCCCTATCAGCTCAATTTTATTCTGCTACTCCCCTATTTCTTCCTCCCACCTTCTGCTATATTTCTTCTGTTCTTCCCCTGCCTAAAGATCTTTTCTTATCCATTTCCCTTCTGAGATCACTTGTACCCTGCTGTGCTCCTCTCTAATGGTCTGCGCACCACCCCAGTCCTGGCCATGGTCCTGGTTTGCTCTGGTCTCTGAAGTTACTACAGGCTACACACTCACATCTGCACATGTGGAACTAGGAGCCTCCAACAAGAGAGAGCATGCCACACTAAGACAAGCACTGTTTTCAACACATTGTGACAAACCTGAACTTGCTAAAGATGACCACATAATGATCCTGGTTTGGAATTTCTGTTTTAAAAGAGATTCTTTCCCATGTATTGGAAATCAGGGGCCCCAGTGTTAACACACATTATCAACACACAGACAATTTTTCTAATTTCAGTCAAAAGTCTTACCTTTGGTGCTTATGTTAACTATTTGACCCAATTACCAATATCATTATTTTGTCAAATTACTGTAATTCAGTACTTTCAAACAGCTTTGTGAAATAGAAATAGAAAACCACTATACTTACTCAGATTCCTGAGACAAAAGAGTGCCCAATTAAATTGTCAAGATCACTTGTATAGTCCACACATATAGATGGATGGATGCATGTATGTGTGGAAATAATGCAGAAGTTAATGTATGTTATTCTCCCACCAGTGTACATATATAGTAGGTGCACAGTGGTTCCTGTTTTTTTTTTTTAAAGTTCCAGAAAACAACCTGGAAGATGGTTCAGTGGTTGAAAGCATATTTTACTCTTGCAAAGGACCTGGATTCGATTTTCAGCAATGACGTGGTGGCTCATAACCATCTTTAAACTTCATTTCTGCAGGTTCCATTTCCCTCTCTGATTTAAGCATGCAAGTGGCACATAGACACATATGCAGGCAAAACTCATATATGCAAAATAAATACATAAATCCTAAAAAATAAATATTAAAAATAAATAAAAGCTTCAGGATAGCATTTAATTCAAACCTTTGGCTCCAAACTGAAAGAATGGTAGTTCAATTCTGTTTTCCAAATTGCAACTGTACAAACCATATATGTAAAATAATTTTCATTAATTATACATCTATACTATATCAACATAGAACATGTATTATATGTAACATAAAAAGATGATAATATCAAGTTAAATGTAATAATTTAAATTTTTTCTTAGCACAAAGATATGTCCTACAATCTGTATATTTCATATGCATTGATTTGTAAATATCTATGGCTTATAGGAAATTATGCATCTCCTAAGTCATCGTGTGTCATCTTTCTGTGTAGCTCACACTGACTGAGACTTAACCAGAAAAGACCGTATCTACCATTGATACAAACTGAACTATTAACATATAAATACAATGAGAAAGAATATTTGTTTTACTTGAAAAAGAAAATTGCAGTGCTGGGGGCTTCAGGTCAATTTTGGTTGCAAGATATAGTTGTTAGTACTAAAACACAAAGTATGGCCATAAATATTCACAATATACAGAAGCCATCAATATTAAATTGACCCAGACCTAGAGACCTAGCAGTCTGCAGGCAGCTGTCTGAGGAGATGTGCAACAATAAAAGCCTAGAGCTGCTTTATGAATACATAGTTCTACATTCTTACAAGAAAAAATCACTTTTCTCCTTCGTTATCTCAGTATTTGATTTTAGAACAGTCTTGTTTTAAGACTTATGGTGATCTATGTATTCTTCTTGGTGGAGAGTAAATACCATAATGAACATAAAACATACTAGATCAAATGTATCATTTTCATTTTAAGTTTTACTGTATTTAGTGAGGAAGGACCTAAAAGCGGTGTGACTGCTCAGAGAGAACATGGAGTGATTGTGTGACTTTCAGGTGACAAGATACATGGTGTTAGCTGATGTGCTGTCCACTGTCAGCAACATTAATAGGTCTTTTGGAATCTCAGGAAGATGAGGACCTTAGTCACTCAAACCAGTTCCATGAGCGAATCTTTAAGAAATACATAATGCCAGCAGGAACAAATAGTGACTGCCTTTTAATAAGGTATTAATTCATAGCTATTCCCTGATACACTTAAATGATTAAAATGAATAAATTATTACTTATAAAATTAAATTTAGCTCACTGACAACTGGAAGCACACAGACGCTCACTAGAACTTTACAGTCTCACACTTTCCAGCCAGTTCCCCTGCCATGAAGCAGCAGCAGCAGTGTCGCTGCAGAGCCTGTGGGGAAGCAGTCAGACCCAGAGCTCGATCACAGGTCACATGGTGTAAGTCTGGGAAAGACATGAAAATGTTCACTGGAAAAGAGAGAGAGAGAGAGAGAGAGAGAGAGAGAGAGAGAGA